AGGGCTCCAGGATTATCTTCTATATCTCTGTCAATTGGTTTTTCTTTTCTTTGTTGAAGAGGGTCTGTGTTGTTTGTCTGCCTATTCCTCCATCTTACTGGAAGTTTGAGTAGCTTAGAAATGATTCTTGATAGAACAAATCCTTTATAGAGTTGAGCTTTACATTGTTCATAGTGGATACAATTTTAAAAAGGTTTTCCCATTTTAACAAAGGTAATTTTTTTTTAACTGAAATCTTAACAGAAAGAAAAAGTTTTTATAAAATATCAAGTATTCTAGGAAACAGTAAAAGTTTAAATGGCAAAATGTAATATCTTATTATTTATTGAAGTTGTATTTTCATTAAATTAAATAAAATACAGTATCACTTTATTTTTCTCTATATTTCCTTATAAAATTTTAGTATTTTTAAACTCAATTTTTGTGAAATTATATGGACATAACCATAATGCAGATGATTTCTATAGAAATTTCTACCACTAGAGTCCAGAAAGCTTTTCATTAGCATTACTGATGTTTTAAACAGAAATACAATTAGAATGAGAAGGTGGAATGTGAGCTTTCCTAAATATGACAAGAATTCCATTTGGATTCTTCCCCTCCTGTGACTTCTAGAAAGTTGTAGACCACAAGTAACTTGAGACTTTTATAATGCTAAGTGGAAAAGAAAGAGAAAGGTAGAGGAGTAATTTTCTTGGTAGTTTGTTGGAGAGGGAATCTAGAGAAGCCAGTGTTTTGAGGGAAGTACACAGGGGAAGAAAGAAGGATTTTAAGAAATATTGTTCAAGAAATTAAAGTTATTTTGAAATTAGGTTTCAATTTCCACTCAGTTCTTCTGAGCAAACACAACTTGAGATGAGACGACATGGGTTAAAGATTTAATAAATGTGGGAATTTTCAAAAGTTTTATTTAAATTACTGGTATGAGAGGAAGAAGAGAACAATCTAACCTGCAAGTGGGAAGGTATTACCATGACATAAAGTTCATTGTTGTTCTTTTCCATTTTTGTTGGCAATATTTGCTATTTTATTCTGTTTAAGAACAAGTTATATGCTGATTTGTCACCTGCTATTTTTTTATCATATGAATGACAATTACATATAGTTTTTTTCCCTTCTGGGATATCTGAACATTTTGTTGGATTGGGAGAAAGGGCAGTGGGAAAGAATAGAGTAAAATTTGATTTTAGTCTATTTGATTTGTCTTGGTAAGTCTTTATTTTCTTTTATGTTCTGTCATCCATCATACTCTGCTGTATAGTTTTAGCCCCACCACTTGTCTGTCAGTTTGTTGTGTGGTGGTGGTGGCTGACATGTTGCTGTGAGTCTGGAAGCTATGCCACCTGCATTTCAAGCACCAGCAGAATCATCCATGGTGGATAGGTTTCAGCAAAGCTTCCAAACCAGACAGATTGGGAAGAAGGATGGGGCCATCCACTTCTGAAAAAGTGGCCAGTAAAAACACCTAATTGTGTTCATGTGGAAACTGTACATAGATGAAGAGGCTGTCATTCCAACAGAACAAGGGGATACTACATGGTTAAAATCAGGAAGGGTGTGCATCAGGATTGTATCCCTTCACCATATTTATTCAATCTGTATGCTGAACAAATAATCTGAGAAGCAGAACTATGTGAAGACGAATGCAGCATCAGGATTAGAGGAGGACTCATTAACAACCTATGATATGCAGATGACACAACCTTGTTTGCTGAAAGTGAAGAAGACTTGCAGCATTTATTGATGAAGATCAAAGACTACAGCTTCAGTATAATTACACCTCAAAATAAAGAAAACAAAAATCCACACAACTGTAAGCAACATCATGATAAATGGAGAAAAGAGTGAAGTTGTTAGGGATTTCTTCTTACTTGGATCCACATTTAACACCCATGGAAGCAGCAGCCAGGAAATCAAATGTCATATTGCACTGGGCCAATCTGCTGCAGAAGCCCTCTTTTAAGTGTTAAGGAATAAAGATATCACTTTGAAGAATAAGGAGCATCTACTTCTGTAGTGATACCGTCTCAGAAACCAAGGAGGGATTGCCATGAGTCGGATCTGCTCCATGGCAGTGAGTTTGGTTTTGGTTTTTAACCCAAGCCATGGTGTAATCAATTGCCACATATGCATGTGAATGCTGGACAATGAATAATGAAGACTGGAGAAGAATTGATGCCTTTGAATTGTGGTGTTGGTGAAGAATACTGAAAATACCATGGACTGTCAGGAAAACAAACAAATCTGTCCTCAAAGAAGTGCAGCTGGAATGCTCCTTAGAAGCAAGAATAGCCAGACTTCATCTCACCTACTTTGGTTGTGTTGTCAGAAGAGACCATTCCCTGGAGAAGGATATCATGCTTTTGTGAAATGGAGGCTCAGTGAAAAAGGGAAAGACTTTCAACAAGATGGATTGACAGAGAGGCTGCAATGATGGGCTCATGCCTAGCAAAAATTGTGAGGAGAATGCAGGATGTAGCAGTTGGGGTAGTTAAAGTTGTATGTCAACTTGTTGGGCCTGGTTAAGTGCCTTAGCAGCTGATGGTATTTATTCTGCATGATGAAACTGGCAGTCAACTCCATGGTGGGATCTACCACAAGCAGCTGAGTAGCTCCTTTAGGGACGTGGTCTGCTTCCCATATATAAGCAGCAGCTTTGGGAATGGTCTCTAGCTTATTGGCATGGTTGAACCCTGCATGTAGCCATGTCATTGTTCAGAAGCCTGCCATGCTCTGCTGACCCTGGGACTTTCAGTGGACTTGAATTAATGGCCTACCCTATGGTTTGGTAACTTCAGGACTGTGCCTTTTTACTTGTCAACCTTGGGCTTGTCAGCCTCAGCAGCCAGCAGCTGTCTGAGTAAAGAAAAGCCTCTAGCTTCAGTGATGGGGAGCAGGAAGCAGAGCTGAACCCTAGGGTTGAGGGGCTTTCACCCAGCTCCAAGAGCCTGGCACTTTGAACTTGGAGTTAAAGCCTCCAAACTGTAAGAGAATGAACTCCTATATGTTCAAGCCATCCCATATGTGGTATTTTCTGTTAGAGCAGCACAGAGGTAACCAACATAGCAGTGTTTCATTCTGTTGTATATTGGGTGGCTATGAGTTGGAGCCCACTCGATGGCATATAACAGCAGCATACTTTTAGCTGAGCTGTTAGCATTTGCTCTAACTGGGAATGTAGAGACCTAATTTTTAAAGTAACCAGGTGCCACATCAATTCTTCAAGATTTTAACAGTAACAATCAACATGGCAGTTGATTTCAGCCTTGTGTATTGGTTTAGTATTCAAGAATGAATTTATCAAAATATTACAGGTAAAACATTTCCTTGAGTAATCATTGATGTGGTAACTTTTAAGTGAACAGTCTTTAATAAACTATTTATATATAAGATGCAAGAGTTATATGATGTTTCTATACATAATATTTCCTAAAGGGAAGAGAAAGAGCATTATCAAAGGATCTCTGGTGGTGTAGTAGTTAAGGGCTCATCTGCTAACCAAAAGATCACCAGTTCAAACCCACCCACTGCTCCACAGGAAAAAGATGTAGCAGTCTGCTTCTATAAAGATTTACAGCCTTGGAAATTCTATGGGGCAATTCTATTTTGTCCTGTAGGGTTGCTGTGAGTCACAATTGAATTGATGGAAAAATTTTTTTTTTTTTTTTCATTATCAACAGTTCTATGAAATCATTTACCTGATGAAATACCTGATATTACTGTAGAGCAAAATGCTTGGTCATATAGAAGAAATGGTCTCTTGGAGCTTTTCATAGGGAACCTGCCATGTAAGCCTAGCTTTCCACAGATCAGAAAGATTAAGTTGCAGTTTTTATTTTTACTCTTTGAAAGCATAAATTGGAAAAATAAGTTGAAAATGTAGAGAAGGTAAAGACTAAGCTTTTTATCAGTATTATGACCCCCTAAAAGTTACTTCCTATCAATAACATTGAAATTACTTCATAAACAAAATGAAATCACAGATCCAGTAATTAGATAGTTAAGTTCAGAAATATGTATATAGCTAATGACTTTGAAAACTGGAAAAAACTGTTAACTCGAAACTAACTTTCTATTCATGATTTTCTTTCAGGGAACAAATCACAAGACAGTGGTATAGCAGAGATGGAAGAACTTCCTGTACCACATAACATAAAAATAAGCAATATTACATGTGACTCGTTCAAGATTTTATGGGAAATGGATTCAAAATCAAAGGACCGTATCACACACTATTTCATTGACCTCAACAAGAAAGAAAACAAGAATTCTAATAAATTTAAACACAAGGTAAAATCCTAATACTTTGCAACATTATAGTACCCGTTGCTGGCTAGTAGATTCCGATTAGGCAAAATCATATTCATTTGCATCTTTAAACTATTCTATCTAAAACTGAAGGCATTTTGGAAAGAATTGTTTTATACTAATTACTTATATGATGTATATGATAATGTTTGGGGGAAATAAAATTTTATAAGAAAATAAAATGCCATACATGTTAAAATTTTTTAAAAAAGTAAAATCTTGACTCATGCAGATATAAAAACAGAAATGTGTTAAAGATTTTTAACTCATTAATGAGAAAACTGATGAACTGTTAGAACCAGTTAAAAAGATAATCCAAGGAAGAGGCAGGGAGGGTTGTTCCTCCACTGGACAGAATTCATTTCTGTGTCTTCAGACCAAAAATAACTGGATTGTTACCAATTATCTACAAATTACAGAGATGTAAAATAGCTTCCATGGGGCAGAAGCAGATAACCAAAAGAGTGTTTATAGGCATAGTTTCCCCCTTAAGCACAAATCCCATGATAACTGCCAAAAGAAGAATCTGATGCAGCTTTGAAATTTTAGGATAGTTGGTAAAACAGCTTAGGGCTAACCATTGTTTTATGTAGTGAATTTTCTTTTGTATTTTTAAGACAAACAAAATTAACCTTTAGATGTTTTAGACATGTAACACATATTTATTCCTACACCTATCTACATAGCATATGTCTCTTTTGATACATAATCCACTCCAGAAATAGCTATAGAGAGGATAACAGTTATCTGGTTTAAATATCCATTCTTATATTCCAATGTTTCTTACCATGATGAAAAACTCACCTTTTTTTTCTGGTTGATAACTGAATTTTGACTAGAAAAACTTTTGGAAGAACTGTCTTACATGGAAATTTTGCATTTTACTAGAAGTGCAGTTATACATACTAAAAATAATTGAGTAGTAGTATACATATCAAACATAAGTGAGAGAGAGCAAGACTGATCAGTCATTATTCTCGTATTCCAATTCTGATTATGCTTTCTGGTGATGGATATTCTCCGTTGACATTTGCATTCTTGAAACATCTTTGAAATATTTAACATTAATGATGAATAGGTCAATATCTGGCCCTTTTATTCACTCCACACTTAGACTACCATATCCTTGGAAATGTAGTGATAATTCAACCAGCAGGTTTAATTATATAGTAATAATTGTTTAAACCCATTGCTGTCAAGTAGAATCCCAACTCATAGCGACCCCATGGGACAGAGTAGAACCTCATAGGGTTTCTAAAGCTGTAAATCTTTATGGAAGCAGACTGCACCTTTGCACTGCAGAACAGCTGCTGAATTCAAATCACCGACCTTTCGGTTCCAGCCAAGCACTTTACCACTGGCCCCAATAATTATTTAGAACTACCCAAAGTTTTCTGATACATATAGGCTCTATATCTGAGTACAAGTGAAACAAATGTTACCTCATTTGTATGTAAAACTGATTTTTCATTTTAAAATACTTATTTAAAAAGCTTTCTCTTCTTTAACATATAAAATGTTTAGTTGTGCTACCCTGGTAATTATTGAGTCGTATAAATTAAGAAAATATAATATTTTAAAATACTAAATCTCTTGAATTTTATCTTTCCTTGATTTTTTTTTTTTTTTTTTAAAGTTTTATCACTTAGTATGATGTACACTATACTCTTTAGGAGTGTAGTGTTCAAAGAAGACTATCTGGTGCTCTTGAGTTGATTCTGACTCATAGTGGCCCTATAAGAGAGTAGAACTTCTCCATAGGGTTTCCAAGGTTATAAATCTTTATGGAAGCAGACTGCCATGTCTTTTTCCTATGGAGTAGCTTGTGGGTTCAAACTGCGGATCTTTTAGTTAGAAGCTGAGCGCTTAACCACTGTGCCACCAGGGTTCCTTATAAAGAAGAATACTGTATTATAAATCAAGAGATCTGAAATTCAAGTACATTAATGTCATTAACTAAGTATATAATCTCAGGCATGTCACTTAATCAGTTGTGCCTTACATAGTTTCTGTATGTGAAGAAAAAGGGATTTGAATAAAAGAACAGTTACATTTTTTCAAACAGGGAAAGTCTATAATCAGTGATTTCCTTCCTCCTATTGTGAGTTCTGGTGGTGTAGTGAGTAAGTCATTTGGCTGCTAACCAAAAGTTTGGTGGTTCAAACCCACCAGCTGCTCCAAAGGAGAAAGATGAGTCTGCTACACATTTATAGCCTTGGAATCCCAGGGGGTTGCTGTGAGTCGGAATTGACTCGATGGCAGTGAGTTTGGTTTTTTGGTTCCCCCTATTTAGACATGGGAGCTCTGGTAGCATAATGGCTAAGGCACTTGACTGCTAACCAGAAGGCTGGTGGTTCAAACCCACCAGCCACTCCTCGGAAAGAAGATGGGGCAATCTACTTCTGTAGTGATACTGCCTCGGAAACCCAAGGAGGGGTCGCTATGAGTCAGGTCTGACTCGACGGCACATAACAATAACAACAACGATTTAGACATAATCAAGTTATGTTGCTTAAATTAATTTTCTTGCCTCCTTTCATCCTTCCCTCCCTCCTTTGTCTTCCTTTCTTAGGATGTTCCAACAAAATTGGTGGCAAAAGCTGTTCCCTTGCCTATGACTGTTCGTGGACACTGGTTTCTGAGCCCAAGAACTGAGTATACAGTAGCAGTACAGACTGCTTCGAAACAAGTTGATGGTGATTATGTTGTGTCTGAATGGAGTGAAATTATAGAATTCTGCACAGCAGGTAAGAGAACAAAGTACAAATATAGAACATATAATAATAGTTCCTGAAAAGATAATTACATAAAAATCATTTCTTTTTTGTAATTATAAGTTGCCATATATTGCATTAGTCAGTTTTGAATTGTCGTTAGCCTTCTGTAACAGAATAAGCTGTGCAGTATTGGTTGTGGGGAGCTGAGATTCTTATTAGCAAAAAGCTGGGTCATGGCATCAGGTTATTTTGCTGCATTCATAGTATGATTTTTCAAAGTGAAAATTTTTCAAATATAAAGTGATGCAGTTTGAAAATATACTTGACATATTTTGAGAGAGCACATGAGCTTTTTCTTTACAATTTTCACAGAAATTGAAAGAAGGAAGCCAGGAACATCCTTATCTAATTTAGGGGGTTGTAGGTAGACCAGTGAATGGTCTCTAGCAAAAATGTTATTGGATTTTTTTTTTTCACTTGAGGGCTAGGCAAGCTGAGAAAAGCTATTTCTAAGCTAGTATCCTCTGTGTGTTTTCATTGATTAAGTAAAATATCTGCATAGGCATTGGGAAATCTGATGTGGACAGCTGTCCCCTTTATTTCATTAGGTTGGTAATGTTATCATCATGTCATTTACTTGTTTATTCACTTATTCAAGAAACAAACATTAATTGAGCACTTGCAGTGGTGCTCAGTAAGTCAGCATTTTGCTAGCATTGAAGGGATACGAAGATATATCTTCCTGAGTACAATACCATCTCCTCTTGTCTGTTTTTTTCTTCTTTGTCTAGATGATTGTTTCCTATCAACAACTGTAGAGAAAGGCCAAGTGTTTGTTTCAACATGAAGGAGCTTGTAGAAAAAGCCTTAAAAACAATTTATCTCACCTATTGTCGGTTGCTTAGCAACTTTCCCTAGCTGAGGCATCCTTCAGATAAATCATCTTTTTCTTTCCCACAGTTTCACACGTTGTTTGAGACTCAATGCATGCTTAGCTACTGCTTTACCTCAATATGTTCTGTTTTTCTTAATCTGAAACTCAGTATAAAATTTCTTATATTGATATGTTGAGTGGATGACATTTTATTTTAGAATTATGTGAATACAATTTTATCTTCAGCCTTTCTAAATTTGTTTAGTATATGAGGAAGTTGCCAAAGATTGCAACAGTCTTATTTGCTAAGGGTTTCAATATTTGAGAGCAAGGAAAATAGGTCTCTGGCACCATATTTCTTTAAATCTAAGGTGTTATCAATTATAAGATCATCGATGTCACTGTTTTCTTACTATATTTATTGTCAGACATTTAAGAATTGAGAAAATATGGTATTAATCATAGTGCAGTACTCAACAGTGAAATATCTACAGATTTTCATATTGTATTAACAGTGAGTAAACAGTTCTTTCCACTGACATTAACTTTTACCTATATTATATGTGTTATATTGGAATTAGTACTTCCCCTTAATTGTTTACCTGAATTAAAATTCCTCTTTGGAATCTACTTCCGGTTTACTCTTTCTATTGCATTTATTTCCATTTGCTTTCATTGCACCCTACCAGAGGGGTTTAATGAAAGTTAGACACATAGGGACAGTCTCTTTTGACATTGTCTTAATACAGACACTGCACCAAATATTGTCATAGTTATTTGTCCACTAAAGGGAATTCTAATTTACCTGCTAAAACCTCCTTTAGCATTAAGGAAAGGTATGAAATATTTCTTCATTAGCTTAAGGGAAAAAACCCTTGATGTTTCCAGTTCAGAAATACACACACACACAAACACACACACACACATATATATACATGTATTAACCTATATATATACACATACAAACACACACGTGTGTGTATATATATATATATAGGTTAATACACACACACACACACATATTAAAGAATAACCTTGTCTTCTTACTTTTATTTAGAGTGGTCATCTCTCTGTTATTCTTTTATTTACCTATATCCCATAATTTTTGTAAGAAAATTTTAGGGTTAATAATGACAATCCCAGCTTTTAAATGTGCCACAATATTTTTCTGTAAATTATTTTGCATTTTTTGTTTCCATGGATAAAATCTAAGGAGAACTTAGCTTTTCAAAGCTTGTTTCAGTTTTTCGAAATAATTTGGAGACTATTTTACCCATGCTCCATCAATAACTTTGTAAACTTTGAGAAAGCTTTTTCATGTAAGTTGTCTTTTAATGTAGACCTCTAATTCATTCAACATTTATTGAGTACATACTGTGTGCTCAGCACTGTGCAAGGTGTAAGAAATAAAATGGTGATAGATACAATCTGTAACCTCAAGAATACTACAGCTGATGAACATTTCCATTAGGTAGATACACTCCTTGGAGAGATCAATCATGAGAGAGTAGAAGGGCTGTGTATGCACAGAGAGACATCTCGGGGTCAGGAGTGCATGGGAGGGAAGGGCATAGGGAGGAGGTAACTATGGGGAAGAAGTGGGAAGAGAGCTGTTGCATTGTGGGAAATTGCAGTCAATGTCATGAGATAAAGTGTATGTGAACTGCTGTATGGAAAATGAATGTATAAACTTTCACCTAAATCACAATTAAAAAAAAACATTATACCAAAAGAAAAAAAGTACTACAGCTGATTTACTTCTAGTCTATACAGATATAAAATCCCATGCTTACTCCAATCTTAAAACCTTAATACTTAACCATTGTTGTTGTTAGCTGCTGTTGAACTGGCCTCTGACTCACGGCGACCCCATGTACAATGGAAGGCAACACTGCTCATTCCTGTGCCATCCCCATGATTGGTTGTAGATTAGATCATTGTGATCCCACAGAGTTTCACTGACCAGGTTTTGGAAGTAGATCATCAGGCCATTCTCTCTAGTCCATCTTTGTCTGGAAGCTCTTCCTGTTGCACATCATTGTAACAGTCAAGCTTCCAGTAATGCATAGGTGGTGGCTGCTCATGAGGTATATTGGCCAAGAATGGAACCCTGGTCTCCTACATGGAAGGTGCCCATTCCGCCACTGAGCCTCTCATAATACTGACTGTAATAAGTTATAATTGTCTATGTACATATCTCTTCCCTTAGACTGTTAGTTAATTGAGGGGAAGAATAATATCTTTTATCTTTAACATGATAATTTAATTTTGCATGGTACTTAGTACATAGGATATTCTAATCTAAATAAATTGTTGTTGAGCCATTAAAGCAGTGAGTCAACAAATAACTTTTGTAGTTCAACTAGATTGCTCCTTTTTAAGAAGATATTACTAATCTTTATAAGCCATTTTTCCCCTTATATTCTAGTGCAGAAGTTTAACAATAGTACCCAATTTTCAAAACAAAAAATTGTTGAAAAGAACCCATTACTTTGACAAGTACTTTAGATTTTGAAGTCTTTTGTATCCAAAGAGCATCAACCAAGCACCAGAAGACATAGTCTCTAATTTATTAGCTATATGAATATTAGGCAAATCATGAAACTTTGACAAACTTCAATTTCTACCTTAGTGAAATGGTCATATTATAATCTACTTTGCCAATTGTAAGGATTTAGGGCATAGATTAAATGAGTGCTGTTACTGGTCCTTTTCAGCATTGCTATAGATTACAGGTTATAAGCTTTTTTTTTTTTTAATTCAACTTAATAAATGATTGAAGAAAAGCTGGTAAGGTATGTATTAATATTACTTTGATTATGCAGAGTCCATATTCCTTACTTATATATTGTTGTTTCAGGATCTTTAATTTCAAAGAGTGAAGAAATGCAGGGGTATTTTAAGAAACAACCATAAACCATTACATAAATATTTTGTAGAAAGAAACAGTGTTCTACAAAGACAATGAATGTTTTCTCTTTTAATAGCAATTTCTAATTCCCTGAAAGTGAATTTCAATTATCTTTAATTTATTAAGCATGTAATTTGTACTTTTGGCACTGTGTTTTTAACAACAGACTTTTTATTATTTTCAGACTATTCAAAAGTTCATCTAACACAACTGTTGGAAAAGGCTGAAGTGATTGCAGGACGTATGCTTAAATTTTCTGTTTTTTATCGTAATCAGCACAAAGAATATTTTGACTATGTTCGGTAAGATTAAAAAATGTATAGTGATTTGTTTTACTAACTACCATTCTAAATTCTATGCCCAGTTTCCCTTTGCTTCTAGTTCTGTCAAATAGCAATTTAAGTTTTCTTTTCAAAATAATTAATTGTACTTTGCCTTTATGTCCCAGAATAATTAAGTATATCAAATCAGATTATGCGATTTTCCCATTTCATTCAGATTCCTTTCTACAATCATTTGAAATATTAATTCCTGTATATTTAACTGGAATATCTTAAACCTCCACTGTTCATATTGGTGAGCATTTCATGAAATGCACACATCCTTTCCCTAATTCCCAATAACTCAATGCTCTCTGCCTCATATAGACTACTAAGTTGTATCCTCTTTCTGTGGACTCCTTTTGGACACTGAAAATGAAAGAATACAAGGGTGACTTTTTCTTGAAATAGTATGATAAATCAGATGGGATTTGTAGGCATCTGACTAGAAATCTTTCAGCTAATATGTTGAATTAATTCTTCACTAGGATAATTTCCTCTGATTACTTTTGAATTCCAGACCTGTGATTTGACTAGTATTTCTAAGATTTTATGTGTTTATCCCTGCAAGCAGATTCCAAATAGTCAGAATTACTCCGTCCCACGGGTACTTTTGATATTTTATAGAAGAAAATTTCAGGGGAGTAAATAGCCAGAGATGTTTTAAAGTGAGACTGAGGCTTTTAAAATGACAAATGGCATTCCTGACATTTTATACAATACCTATAATTTTGCCCCTTTAAAACCCTTACTCTCATTTTAGACTCTAGAAGATTTTTTAAGTTGATATGACTGTGTAAGGGGGGGAAAAAAAGAAAGAAGGTTTTTTTTAAATTTCATATTTCTGTAATTTTTCTTAAGATTTAAAGCAGCTCAAAACTATGTAAACAGTAAAGAAAATTACATAGAGAAAAGAGAATTTATATGTCTGTGACCTTCAAATGAAATTACTTTTTAATGTCTTATATACTGATGTATTTTTATGGTGAGAAAAATCCCTGCCTTTTGTTTGATATCTTTTAAATATAGAGTTTAGTCCACCATTATACTCACTGGTAAAATATTTACCCTAGAATTTATATAATCCTGACAAATGCCATTTACTTAATATAGAGAATGCAGACTAAGAGATTGACCACAAATTGAGAATGACCAGATACACTTGGCAAGAAAGGTGTTTCTTTATATTTGTTAAGCATAAAATTTGAAGAAAAAAAAATTGCTATTTTCTTTAATAAGAAATATATCAACAGAAGTAATTGGTACTAGGTTTAGATGCTTGGAGTATTGCTAACATTATATTAGGTGGCCACTGAAGGTCAGTATTTCTCCTATTTTCCTTGTCCTTTGGGTGGGACCTGACCTTTGTTTTCAGGTCCCTGTTGTTGTTGTTATGTGCCCTCGAGTTGGACCGACTCATAGCAACCCCTTCTTGGGTTGCCGAGGCAGTATCACTACAGAAGTAGATTGCCCAACCTTCCTTCTGAGGAGTGGCTGGTGGGTTTGAACCTCCAGCCTTCTGGTTAGCAGTCAGGTGCCTTAGCCACTATGCTACCAGAGCTCCCTTCATAGTTGAAAAATTTGCTTCATGTATTTTCAGAAATCCTTTTAAAAAATAGAAAGGTAAAGTCAGAGTACCTGAAAAACAGAAAAAAGTTATTGTTTGTGTGTGTGTGTAGATAAGGATTCCAGGCTCCTAGTATGAAAGATAGGAACTCTGGTAGCGTAGTGCCTAAGGCACTTGACTGCTAACCAGAAGAAGTCTGGCGGTTCAAACCCACCAGCCACTCCTCAGAAGGAAGATTGGGCAATCTACTTCCGTAGAGATACTGCCTTGGAAACCCAAGGAAGGGTTGCTATGAGTCAGAAAATGACTCAACGGCAATGAGTTTTTTTAAGCATGAAAGATATATTTGCAAATGGAGAAATTTACCTTTGTTAGATTTTTCATGTTAGTTGTGAATTCATATAAATTATATCTTAATGCTGTGTATATACATAAAGTATACTTGCTAAGTCATGGTACAATTTGTCAACAGTGTTTTCAAAAAACTTTATTAAAAGAATAGTAGACATTAACTTAAGTCTTGATTTTGTTTTTATGTAATGAACTGTAATCAGGACACACCTCCTTGATCAGAGTCCATTTTAAATGTCATCTTGTTATTCCTAGTGGAAAGGCACCTTTCACTTATCAGATGATATTTCCAAATCATTATAAATTATGAGAAAGTTATAGATAAATTCTGACTCAATCTGTATAGAATAAACTCATTTCATTCTCTTTGTCTCGGAATAAATCCCTAAGTGAACAATGTTTTCCTTAACCCCAAATACCACTTTCTCTCTTAATCACTGTGCATATTGATTAGGTAGTCTAACAAGAATGGACTATTGTCATGTCTCTAAAACTCTTATTTGTATCTGAAAGTTTTCTCTACAAGAATCCACTGAGTTTGGTAGGAAATCTTGTACTTCTGACACAGCAGATTGTAAATTCTCAAAGCTGATATTCTGTTACTTTTAACAGAATATTAACAGATGTTAAGATACTGGTAGACCAGCTGGGAATCTCAGGGCTCAAGGAATGACAAAGTGATAGTTTACAGGATTTTTCCCTTTATACTCAAGATGAGGTACTGGAGAAGCCAGCCAGCAATCCAGAAATGACAGTGCACACAGGCCCAAAAAAAAAAAAAAAAAATCCTCTAGAAAGTCTGATCTCTCTATCCAAAGGACTAGAAAAGGGACAGCCTTGCAAGATAGAAAACTTGCAGACAATAACCATTTTTCTCCAGCCAAACATCATGGAAAAAAACTACAGTTGCATTCCCACCCCCACCAGCCAAGGCTTAGCCCCACTGGAAGGAGGCATTTTTCCCCACATCTTCTTGCAGGGGTTGTGTCAGAGAAGACCTACTGGGAATCCTGGACTTGCATCCCCCACCTGGTGAAAACAAGGTACCCATCCTCCTCCCCACTGGGATGGTGTCATTAAAGGCCTATTGGAAACTGATACTTTTAGTAAAAGGCCAGCAGTACTGAAACTTGCCCTCATAATGTCAGTGAAAGCCACATGAGGAGCAGTAATCAGGTAACCCTTCCCTTCCCTGCCAGAATGTTAGTGGAGGCATAATGGGAGCCTAAACTCCCGCCTTCACCCAGTAGTAACTTCTTCCTACCCTATCATTGGAGTTTGAGTATACAATGTACACTTGTATTCTCTACCTCAGAGCAATGATGTAGCATCCCTCCCCCCAACTACTGCAATCTATACACAGTCAGGAGAGGCTGGTTAAACTGAAGATTTAAATAAAATCTTGAGCCTCATAACTTAATACCCAAAATGTTCAGGATAATATCAAAATTCACTTATCATAGCAAGAACCAGGAAAAATCTCAATTCACATGAGAAAAGATAACCAACCAGCCAACACCAGGACCAAAATAACATAAATCTTGTGATTATCTGGCAAGGATTTTCTGAGATCAGGCACATTCAGTATGATATGGCCACAGGCCCAAAAAGGATTTTCAAACAGCCAACAAAAAATGTTTCAACAAACAACTACAGTGTTCTGGCAAGATGGTGGACTAGGCAGAAGGACTGCACAGACGCTGTTCAACAAAGAAAAGGGAAACCAATTAACACAGACACAGAAGATAATCTTGGACCCCTGAGCCTTGAAGGGAAGGATACAAAAGTGGACTAAAC